CAAAATATTGGAAACAAATGCCTGTACATAACCAGTTGGTTAAATGGACTGTGGTCATTACACAATGAAGTTTTACGCAATTATTTTTAAAAAAGAAAAAAATCTGATTTCTATGAACTGATATGGAGCACTTCCAGATTAGTATCTGTCTCTTTCCACAAGGAACACAGGAAAGATAACCAGCAACAAAATCTATTAATATGCAGGGGGAGGTTGGGCGGGAATGAGATGGAGGGGATGGAGACTAAACGACATTTCTCTCAGTGTACGTCTTCGTAAGTTTTTACTTCTGGAACCTTCGTTAATGTTTCACATTTTCAAAAAAATTCAATCAACAATAAGGAAAAAAATCTAAGATTTTTTATATTTTTTTTCTATAATCTTTAATGACATTCAGTATGAGGGAAGGCTTTGTCTTAAGGGTGGCCTGGTGTGACAGGATTCCCTGTAATCCACACCCAAACTGGGCCCCACCCTCTCTTCTCCCCAGACCATCAGAAGCTTCTACCTTTCTTCCCCACATCTCTCACCCAATTAATCAGACTGTTCTGGACTAAAGGACAACTAATTCACTGTGGGAGCGAAGAGGCTAAATGATCCACAGTCTCTCCCTGTTCCCCACTGCCCTCCCCCCGCTCCCCCATGCCACTTCCCTGCAAAAAAATCATTAGGAATTAACTTTCCATGTTGAGCGCAGACACTCTAGAACAAATGGCATTATTAACATTCCTTTTCCATCGAGGCCCTCTGCTGGTATAAATGAAATACGGAGATCGATGGTTTTATTTGTTATCCTCAGGTCTAGCTAAGTTGGGAGAGGAGCTTTGAGAGACTATCATCCCTGGAAGATCTGTGATCCAAACTTCTTTTTGTTTGGCACCCTTGTCCACTCCGAGGTGTTTGTAAATGTCGACAAGGAAAACTTAAGACTTTCTTTGCCTTCCATCACATTACTTCCTGTGCTCCCCTCCAGCTCCCTAAACACTCCTTTATTTCTCTGGTTCCTTTTCCTCTCTCCTGTTCTCCCCAGAGTTCTAGTATAAATAGTCTTCTTTATGTAATTTCATCCCTATCACTTTGTATGGTCCTGTCAGTTCTGTGAGTATTTCCCACATGCTGCTTCTCCTTCAATGCTCCAGATCCATATATGAAATTACTCACCAAGGACTCCACCTGAAGCCCTTTGGCACTGCAAGCTCAGTGTGTCCTAATCTGAGTTCATATTCCTTTTATGAAGATTAAGGATCCAAAACCTGGAAGTAAGGCGAAAGGATTACTGAGTGCCTTTTCAATGCCACCTGTTAGACTAGGGCAGTAGTTCTCAAAGTACAGTCCTGGACCAGCAGCACTCGCATCCCCTGGGAACTTGTTAGAAATGCGGATGCTCGGGCTCTACCCAATGTCAGCTTAGTCAGAAACTTTAAGGGTGAGGCTCATAAATCTGTGGTTTCACAAGCCCTCCTGCTAATTCTGATGATCACTCAAGTCAGAACTACTGAACTTGAGCCGGGATTGGCAAACTATGGCCTGTGGGTCAAATCCAGCTCAATGCCTGTTTGTACAGTTTTGTTGGAACATGGCTGTATCGTGGCATTTATTTATGTGTTATTAATGGCTGCTTTCACTCTATGACAACAGAATTGAGCTGAGTAGTTGCAACAAAGACTGTGTGGCCCTCATGGCCTAAAATATTTACTATCTGACCCTTTTACAGAAAAAGCTTGCCCATCTCTGAACTAGAGCATCATCTACCAAACCCTCCTAAGAGGCACTGATGGTCTAGTGACTTACTATTTATTATTGAGTTGGGCCTAGAGTCTGTAAGTTAGGTGTCAATTATAAAAGACTGATAAGTTGCAGATTATTTTTGTGTGATAGAGAATGATTTCCTTCTGCCTGAATTAATCACAAAGGCAGCAATTTTATTGTCCTGTAGAACGTTAGCTAGTTTTGAATCTAACCTAGCAATCACATACCTTTCCATTTTTTCCTTCTCATTATCACACACACACACACACACCATGGTCTCTCATATCCTCCTCTGAACCGGTTTTACATTCTCCCGGTTGCTAACAAGTTAAATAAATCTTTGAAGTATGCTCGCTATGTACTTCTAGAAGACCCATCTTTTTAACTTATTGAAATTTATACTTTGACACTGACTAAAGTTAATTCTTCCTATATTCGCTGTATCCCATACACTTCAAACAAATTAGTCTCAAAATCTCACTGGTTTTTACCTCCCACAGCTTCTCTTGAAGCCATCCCCTCTATTTCTATGACTAATGCCAGAACTGAAGCCCCTATGCTCTCTTTCCTGAATTTTCACAACAGCCCCTATTTGGCTCTTTGTAATCAATCCAGTCTACACGAGGCTCCTGGAAAAATATGCCCAATGAAGACCTCCGACCTTTTCACTTTCCTACTCAAAACCTTTTGGTGGTTCCTCATTTTTCAACAATAAAGGATAACTCTAGTTCCTTAGCCTGATTTTTCAGGCCCCCCAAAATTTGACCCCAAGCTTATCTTCCCTATTTGTCCTTCCTCCTCTCTGTAATCTGTGAGTACATGCACTCTCATTGCCTTCCTTTATGTTACCCCTCTGCCTATAATACCCTCTGTCCTGTTTTCTCATCTCCAAACCTAAGTATTCGTTAAGCCCCAGATTGAAGCTCCCCCATGCTGATGCTTTTAGCCAAAAGTCATTTCTCTGCTGTGAATTCCCAATATGTTTAATTTGTATCTCTTTTATGGCACGTATCATTTTCTGTTTTGTGACATGGTCCTTTGTGGATGTTTCTGTGGTCTCATTGTGGGACAGCCTCTAGGATCAACTTTGTATCTACATTATTGCCTAAACTGTGCTAATATGGATGAGAGCCAGTGAGAATTTTTGAGTAGGAGCTGCTGAAAAATTAAAATCTGAACGAGAAAAGTAGCACCAAATTATTTTTTGAATGTATAAAATCTCATCAAACTATATTTTCCTAAACTATCTTTTGTGAATATTTTATTTTCCTCATTTAAAAATATTAACTATTTACTATTAAAGGAGAAAAACGAACATTCTTCAAAAAGTTAAATGAATCTTCCTTTTTTCTGTTTGGTGTATTTTTTTTTCTCCATAAATAAGAGTTCTTATTGCACTATGGCAAGCTCTAGCATTTAACTATTCAGTATTGTTTATTCATTAATGAAGATGACAGTTTTCTGTGTGGACATACCCATAAAGGGACCCTTAATGCAAGTGTTTGTTGATGAAGTTCTAAAATCTTTATCTGGTCTTTTAATTGATTAAGAAAACATACGGGACACAAACTTTTTTTTTTTTTAACCGGGAGGAATATTAGTGTCTACATCCTGGGTGCCACCAAATCAATCAGGGCAAAGGAAGTTATGGCACATCTGCTGTCTCCTACCTAATTTTTATTCGCATCGCATTACAAAACAGCGTTCCTCCACATGGGTGGGTTTTTCACCAGTATCACCTGGAGGGCTTGTTACAAAAGAATATTCCTAAGTCCTACACAAATTCAGACCCTTCGGGGCTGGATTTCTAAGAATCTTTATTTTTTAGTTAAACACCCAGATGATTCTTATGTACCCTGAAGTCTGTGAATCACAGGCTAAATTCTTATCCTCTACTAAATTCAGACAGAAAGAAGCAGAGACCGCTATAGAACTGCCCGTGTGCACCTTAAATGAACCAAGAGGGTTGAGAGAGTTTGTCCATCTTCTCTCCTGTCTCAGAGTGTCCTTTTTCCTTATAACTTTCCGTCAATATTTTATTTTGAAAATGTTCAAATACACAGAAGAGTTGAAACAATTGTACAGTGAACACCTATATACTACAGCTTTAACGACATTGCTTTATCACAAGTCTATCCTTTTATCCATCTCTGTATTCATCGACCCATCTTATTTTTTTGGATGAATTTCAAAGTAAATTTCAGTAGTGTCTACTCTGAGATGGTGGTGACTCGAAGAATAACAGGACAGTAAATCCTTGTATCCCTGGTGAAACACAGTGGCCTCATTTTACTGGACAGGATTGGTGGCTGCTTGGACTCTGCAGAACATTTAGAATGCTTTTAATCAACACCAGATAATTTTGGCTGGCAGTAGACAGACCCAGCAAAGTAATATCTACTTGTCTCTGTTCATTTGAATGGGAGCTTTTGTTTTGTTACTGGAAGAAGAAAGGGAGGCTTTGGAAAGAAGATAAACGTGGAAGCAGATGATAGCAGTAACCTCTCCCCTCTTCCATGGGTTTTGAGTCCCTAATAGAGAGACCGGTTAGAGGTGAGATTTGCTGGTTTAGTGGTTAGGAGCAAGGTTTCAAGTCAGATTGCCTAGGCCTGCCTCCAGCTGCCCCTAGCTGTTTGACCTGGTCTATGAACCTCAGCCTCTTGGCCTCAGTTTTCTCATCTGCAAAATGAAAGTAATGATAGTACCTACATTATATCGTCGTAGAGAAAATGTGTGCCTGACATGTAGCTCAATCAACTTAGTTGCTAAAATACAATTACACTCCTTGATGAGTTTAGGTGCACACAAAATTAACACGTGACTATAGCAGCTGAACGGGAAGACAAGTAAACTTAATAATGTTGACAAGTAAACCTAACAGAAATTAAGAGAAGTGCAGAAGGTAGCAATCCTCAAAGCGCTCCCAGACAACCCGCTGCACTTGAAATCCAATTTCTTCCCTTGCTCTGCAAGGCCCCTACATTATCTGGCCTCTGCCTGCATCTCCAATTTTGTCTCCTCTCTTTCTCCTTTGCTTAGCCCTAGCCACACCAGCCTTTGGTTTCAGAATGAGCTAAGTTCATTTGGTCCCCAGGACATTTGTACTTGCTATTCCTTTGCATGAAAGTCCATCTCAGTTCTTTAAAGGCCTGAGAAGAGGCTGGTGGGCCTAGAGGCGGCAGGGGGCGGGGCCAGAGAAGGGGCGGGGCGAGACTGGCGTCGGAGAAGGGCGGAGTCGGCCGGAAGTCAGGGCGGAGGCCCAGGAAGTGACGGCCCCGCCTGCGGACTTTTGGAGTCGGTGAGATCTGCACCGCCAGGTCTGTGGTCGTTGTGTTCCTGGGCCCTGGGAGATGGAGAACGGAGCCGTATACAGCCCTACCACGGAGGAACACCCGGCCCCTGCCAGGGGCGCCCGGAGCGGCCTCGCCGCCTACTTCTTCTTGGGCCGGCTCAAGTTGCAGCAGCGTGTGCTCAAACTCTTGCAGCTGGTGAGCCCGTGGCCAGGGCGGCGAGCCTGGGCCTGGGAGGGGGGCCTGTCCCCTGGGCCATCGGCCTGTCTGCTTGGGAGGTCAACTTGGTAGTTGAGGAAGCGGCCGTTTCCACACCCGAGTTCCTCCCCTCTCCGCCCGGGGCGGGGGCGTTACCCTCCGCCGCCCAACGGGCGACCCCTTATCCCCAGATCTCTCCCCCGCTAGGTCGCCGAATGCGACCTAGGGCCCGCGAGTGTGTTAGGCGGGCCCAGGAAATGCGTCGGAGGAGACGTAAGTGAGACACAGACTTATTTCATTCACTCTTCTCTAGCCACCTTCGATTCTTCTCCAGCTCTTACTCTGTATTGTCTCCCAAAGTGCCTGTATTTAGACTACGACGTGCTTCTTGTTTATCTTTCTTGCTGTTTTCCTGGTGCGAGCCCATGGGGGTAGTTTAATTTGGTGGACAGAGTCTTCCCATACCACTCACGGCATTGAGATATGTGTGTCCAATAAATAAATTGTCTCCCAAAAGTTTTATATCGACTAGAAAACAACTGTTTCTGAATGGGCGTGTGTGTACGAAGTCCAGAGGCAAAAGGACAGCTTTTTGTGTTTGTGTGTAGGGCATGGTATTTTCAATTTCATTTGTGTTTGTGTGTAGGGCATGGTATTTTCAATTTCATTGACTTTCAGTTTAGGTAGTGAAGGTACCTTAAACCTATTAGTGAAAATGTTAAAACATCTTTGAGATTTAAATTTTAATTCCATTTACACACATTGAGCTGTATTCAGTTTTAATCAACAATGAGTGACATTTTCTGCAAGGAAAAACGAGACTGCTAGAATGCTTATGGGTTGGTTTTGTTTTGTTTTGTTTTGTTTTTTAATCATTGTAAGTAAAACTAGACAGTTGTTTTCCTTGGGAAGAACTTAAATTCTTAGAACTCAGATAATCAGAACTTATGTTCTTAGAAATCAGATGACCTATTTTTATTGAATAGAAAGACAGCAGTCAGGACTCTAACACTTCTCTTGAGCCACCAAAATCATATGGGAATAATTGGGAAATCACTCGGAGGCAAGTGACACTGTGGCCTTTGGAATCCAAGAGGGTCTGGCTCTGTCCGTCCAGCCTCCTTTTAGGTAGTTCTACACTGGCAACCTTTCGGTTCTTACCACCAAGCATCAGGGCCCCCCTCCTGCCTTTGTTCTTTTGTATTAGCTATTCCTTCTACTCAGAATTGTTTCCTTCTGCTCTTCTTGTCAGCTCTCACGTGACTTTTAGATTTGTTTCTCTGCAGTAGAGCTAAAATGTTTCTATTTGAAAAGATCTCTTTCTACCAAAAAGAATTAATATTCATCTGAAGCATTCTTACTGCTCAAAAGACATCATCAGTATTGGTCTGTTGCCCATTAAATCTCCTATTTTCAGTTGTTGTTATTTTTTCTTTGAAAATGTAGTGCATTCTCTCTTTGGGTATACTGTTCTGGATCCATTTATCTTATCAGATTCTGAGTCCCCAGAAGAGAAAGGAACTTTGCTTTAAAACTTAAAAACCAGACACTGTGTACTTAGGAAATTCTTAAGAGTCTGAGGAGGTTGAATTGGATTTCCTCTGAGGTTCTTTCCACTCAGGATTTTTACAGACCTCTGAGGGTTGTGCTGATACAGAGCTGAACACCAAAAGGATAGAGAGTGGAGCCTGCAAACACAGAAGGGGAGGTGAGAGAAGAGTGTAACTAGCTCTTGAGTTGTATGTAGGTAACTCTTGAGTTACAGCATCTTGGAGTTGTGTAGCTGTGTCCACCTTCATGTATGACTTTAATTTTGTCAAAGGCTTGTCTACAACGTAAGTATCCTCTAATTACCACCTACCCTTTCAGAGCTGTAGAGGAAATAAAGGTTCAGCTAGGAATTCAATGTAAGGAGTCAACTGCAGTCCTAAATTTATGCAGTTTATTATCAGTTTATTCTATTCTTAGATTGGTCCTTATGCCCATGCATTTTATTTTGTGAGGGTTTTATTGTTGTTATTACTTTTGAGGGAGTTTGTTTTAAGGAGAGAATTGGCATTTGGCAACCTAATTCCTAATTGGCTGGTGCAATAATATAAATATGCATAATATTTCTTTCTGCAACAGGCTGACATTGTGTTTATGGTACCAGTTGAGTGTCCTGATGGCTGCACAGTACTGTGATTATATAATGACTGTTCAAACAAGCAGTTTGATTTAAAATTCACCAGTGATTTAAATTTATTAATTATAAATGTTACTCTATAAGTGCCAAGAAACAAATCACTTAGAAGCAATTTATCTTCTGTTGGTGTTCTTTTCATTATTTAAATCTGAAAATTGTTAGGTACTAAAATTGAAATGCTCTATTTTTACCTTGCGGAAGATCCATAATGTCAGCAAATTTTATCCTTGAACCTTTGGGAGTAAATGTTTGCCTAAAGGAGACCTAGCCTCACTTCTGGCTGACAGATTAGTTTACTTGAACTTTGCATATGACTACAAGGTTTTTAATAGCAAGTTCATTCATTCACAAATATAATTTTGTAGATGGAGTCTTATAACTAACTAATGGCAAACACTAAAAGGTTATTTTTCTAAGAAATTTTTTTTTGTAGTAGACTGTTAAAGACAGATGATGGAGAATTTGTATTTAGTATAATGACTTAATTTTAGGAAGACTGAAGTTTCAGAAAAGGTAGTAAAATTGAAATGGAGAGAGACACAGGGTATCTGAATGTTTCAGTCATTAGAACCGTAAGACCATCTTTTCCCAAATGTGTTGGCCCTAGCAAATTGTTTTTAATATATGATTTAACAGCAAAAGGGGGAAACGCACAAAACAAGGTTGTAACCTCAAAAACTCAATCTTATAGGAAAACCTACACAGACATATGTAGTCATAAATGAACTTAGTAAGTAGTGTTTTATGGGGGGAACAAGTATAGAGTGGGAGTCAGGAGACCTGGGTTCTTGTCTGTTCTTGGCTAACTTGGGACTTAGCCTGTCAGAGTTTAACCCATCATTTGTAAAGAAGAGGGTGAGGCTATATGCTCTCCAGACCCTTCCAACTCTAAAAGCTTGATGATTCCTTTAATTGCATTTGGGTGAAATTTTATGTCATTAGAAGGAGCTGCATTAGGTGTCCTGTTGTTAGATTTGGAGCTTGATATTTAGTAAGCAATATTTCATATGATGTCTTCATGCTATTGAGAGCAACACTGATCGCCAGAAACTTACAAGTTACACTCACCATTATTTCCTTACCCAATTCAGTGGGCCTTATCTCTTTTCCTCTCCTTAACCACTTTGGTATTTATTGCTGGTGACTACCTATTTTTTGATATTCTTCTTTTCCTTAACTTTTGCAATTTTTTTAAGTAAAAAAATTGCTTACCAAAAAAGTCAAGTAAAAAATATGATTAAAATAAGCCACACTGTAGCCCTCACACTTTCTTACCCCCCAGCATCACCATTTAACAGTTTGGACTGTGTTTACTTCTCAGACTCGCTCGTATGGTACCAGTTACTCTTTTCCGCCTACTCTTGAACTGATATCTCCATTCTTTCAGGCCCCACCCAGCCCTCTGTTCCTCTTGTTTTCTAACCAACTAAATCAGTTAGGCGGTCCTTGTCGTTGTCCATCTAGAAGTCCATACTCCCTGGCATGACCATCACAACCACACCCAACACCATGACCATTTTGCTCTTCACTCCCCATCCACTTAGGCCAATTGCCTTATTACCCCTTTTGGGCATACCATGCAAATTCATGCCTGCATGAATCTGTACTTCCCCCCCGCCTTCCCCTCCTGGACTGTCCTGTGCTGGTACAGATCCTTGGCGTCACTTTGCTCTAGTTTGAATTTCGCTTTTTTACTCATCCTTCTCCGGCTGTTCTTAGTCCAGGTGGATCTGAACATTTTCCTGAGGTTTCCTGAACTTAGATATAATGAATGCTCAATTATGAGGTACAGAATACATTGCGTTCTTATTGTTTCTTGTACATTGATTTTGTTGCTCTGTCATTACATGTTCCTATGCATGTTATAATGCTGCATATAATACTCAAATACTTTTAAATTTTTTTATTGAGGTATAATTGACATGTAACATTATATTAGTTTCAGGTATACAAATAATGATTTAGTATTTGTATATATTACAAAATGATCACTTTAATTTGTACTACAGACTGTGTAGTGCTGTGGGAGATTATAAAGGAAGCTTAATAGCATCAGAGATGGGGAGTTAGGAGGAAATTTCATACTGAATATAGCTTGCAGTGCTAATTTCTTGGCCTTTAACTGGGAATAGGAATTAGTAGATGTCCAAACTTTATAGTATACTCTTCCAGTCTCTTAGGGTGCCCATGCAGAACCCTCCTCTTAATATTGCTCTGAGTCTTTAAGTTTAGTAAGAATGATTCTTGTTAATTAAGTTTGAAACAGGACTTGTAATGATTTGACATTGCTTCTGGCTGAGCTGGATCCTGCTCTTTTCTTACGAGAATAGACAAGCAGTCTTTATTTTTACTACAGATAAGATTCTTTTGTCATACAGTCTGTATGGATAAGTGTTCCTGGTAATCTAATTATTGCAATAAGAATGGTTCAAGATCAACTATTACCCCCATTAGAGCCTTAGGCCGATATCCTTTCACAGTTAATTGACTTTTATACAATTGAGGTATATTTTGCAAATTTCTCATAGAGAAAATCCTAAAACTTGGACAAGATTTAACATAGAGGCTGGAATAAGAAAAATGGAATATTAGATATTTAGTATTTTATTATACTCTAGTCATTGTAAAAACCCGTCCTGTAATTATAAATACAGGAGACTAAGGAAGTACCTTTACACAGTGGCCTTCTGGAATTTGTCTTGGTGTGTCACTTTATTTCCTGTGGTTTAATGATTGCGAATACCTCACCTAATGTCTGTCTGAAGGAAGTTGTTTGGGATATACCAGACTATTTTATGCTTCACTCTACTCCTAGCTTAGGATCTATTTTTGTCCTCGTGTAGATTCTTTTCAGTTGTAGAGATATATGAATTTTGTATTGCCCAGTGGGAGGGGAGAAAAATCCCTGAGAGACTTAGATACCAATTTAGATTTGGTCTTTTTAAAAAATTTTTGTTTTGAAATAATTATAAATTCACAGAAACTTGGAAAAAACGTACAGGGAGGTCCTGTGCATGCACGTGCATGCATATGTGTATGTTTTCTTCCTGTGCAGTTTGATCACATGTGTAGCTTCTTATGATCACTACCACAATCAAGATACAGAACTTTCCATCACCACAGGGTTCCCTCATGCTTCCGCTCTGTAGCCTTTCCTCTTCTAGGCACCAATAATTTGTTCTCCATCTCTGTAATTTTTATTTGAGAAATGTTATATAAATGGAGTCATGCAGTACTTAACCTTTTGAGATTGGATTTTTTCACTTTGCGTAAGTCTCTGGAAATTCTTCTAGGTTGTTGCATGTATCGGGTTTGTTCCTTTTTATGGCTAAGTAGTAGTCCGTGGTATGTCTGTACCTACCAGTTTCCTTAACCGTGGAAGGACATCTTGATTGTTTCCAGTATGGGGCTATTATGAGTAAAATTGTTATGGACATTCATGTACCAGTTTTCACATGACCATATGTTTTTATTTCTCTTGGTCGGATGCAGACTTGAGGAATGTAATTGCTTGGTCAAATGGTAGCTGCATGCT